GGTTGGAGGCCATCGCTATTAGGTTGGAGGCCATCGCTCTTAGGTTGCAGGCCATCGTTCTTAGGTTGGAGGCCATCGCTCCTATTTTGGAGGCCATCGCTTCTAGGTTGGAGGCCATCGCTTCTAGGTTGGAGGCCATCGCTCCTATTTTGGAGGCCATCGCTCTTAGGTTGGCGACCATCGCTCTTAGGTTGGAGGCCATCGCTTCTAGGTTGGAGGCCATCGCTTCTAGGTTGGAGGCTGTAAATATGGCAGCGGAGGCCCAACCAACTCAACAAACACTGTCCACCCTTATCACACAACCACCAACAAAGAGCGCACGCTGGTTTCTGACGCTATGGCTGAGCGGTGTCGAGAGCATGAACTACCGGATATCAGGGTACGTCTTGAGCCCCGTAGGGTTGAGGAATTGATCTTTGGTCAACAGATGACACCAAATTGACACAGCTCCAAAAACTTTCTTGACCAAAGATAGAGTCATCCAAACAACACACCAAATTCAACCAATCGGAATCACCATATTTAGTCTCCAACTGTCTCACCTGTTTCCGTTTCTTGCCTGAAACAAAACTTGGGTCAAAAACGATACGCCAAGTCGTCTGACTAAGAGCCTGGATCAACTGTTCTCCTTTCCAAGGTTTGGTCAAACCATCAGCTAACTCTTGATCTCCAGACTAGTCAATTTCGTGCCGCGACTTGGCACGGATCGAAAACGAGCCCACTTTGCTGTTTCCTTTAAAGTCAACTGCAAGGTCCCCCAGCCAATGTTTCATGGTATTTTGACTAGCTTCTAGTACTCTTAAGCCAGAAGCTGATTCCCTAGCCACGCCAACGAAGCTATGGGATCCAGCCGGAAGGGAGTGTGGACGCACATTCCTGTACATGCAGTTGTGAATGTTTTAGCCATTCTGGGGGTCTGGGTTGCTTTTGCGCCAGAAAACTGGAGGTGACCAGAGCTTAGCTGCTTAGAACATTAAGAGACATTGCAAAAAAACACCACAGTGAGTTGGCCAAAGTGAATGCTGTGAATACGTTCAATGGTTGCTTGGTGAGAAGTGAGAAACCGGGCTGCGCTGGAAAAAACTTGACAACAACGGAAACACAACGCGCGGGGGCGTGCGGTGGCGTGCGGTGGTGCACATGCGGGCACGAAGTCATTACTACAATTTCAATCATTACACACATCACCACACAACTTTGTAAGCCCTTGTGAAAACACAAACTGTCTTCTTTTCACACAAGCGCACTCACGGTGGCGCCCAGCTGCTGCTTTGAGAGTCTACTATGAGACTTCCACTATGAGACTGCGTGTCTCAAGCGTGCGCTGGCTGCTGGCACAGGCTCAAGCACAAAAACCTAGTCTGAAGGGTTTACTTGGTTGAGGGAGGTGTTGCTTAACAAGGAAAGGTGCTCACAAAAAAAAACATGTGTGAACTGTGAACGGAGAGAGAACCACACACCAGCCCAGCAAACTGTTCACTCTCAGAGCCTCACGCAAGCCACTTTAAGGTGTAGAAAGCCAAGGTTCCAACAGGCCAGAACTCAACACAGCATCGACCCACCCCCGTAGCCTCCTCTTTGCAATGCGTCGCATTGGAAAAACGGGCCCATGCATACATGTCAAGCCTCCAGCAGCCCTGGCTCCTGCAACTGCAACCACAACTGAAAAACCCTGACAGCGACACAAGCTCGCAGCCTCAGCCGCTTCCAACAGGAGGGCTTTGGGGGCCGTGCCGCCAAGAGGCGCTGCCAATTTTCCCTGCTCAGGACTCCATCTTCTCAGCTGTTTCTTTTGCTGCTTCCTCAGCCGCCTTGACTGGCGAGGGAAGACTGGGCAGCGCTGCCTGCGCCTTCTTCCAAGCATCCAGCCACGCCTGACGGCCCGAGGAAGAGCTGGTGAGAGCAGTGTTCAGCACGTTGTCCTCTCCATCTGTCACAAGGTGTCGAAGCAGAAAAGACTGGCTCAGACTGAAACATGGACTCTTACCCACACTCACAGAGACACATGCCCAGCCAGGTGGCCAGTACAGGCCTTCTGCAATTGTGAGAGTGTGGACATGGGCATGCTTGGCAAGTACCTTGCTCTCAGCGTCCAGAAGCTTGCTGCCATCATTCGACATGAAGAAAGGCATGTCAGCGCCAGGTTGGAAAAGCACCACCTGCTTCTGCCCCTTGACTGGGACTTCCCATGAGCCCAGGTCTTCATACTCAAACCCTGCGTATGGTTTCTGCGCGCCTTGCGCAACAAGGCGGGTGGAGACAACAGCTTTCAAGACTTTCTCATCTTCCAAACCTGCATTTGCCAGGTCAACCATTCTGTCCTTTGGCAGCAAACCTAAGAGCAATTGCTGCACTTCTTGGCAATGGTCAGGGGTGCACCTTGCCCGCACCAAAGAGGAAGCTTTCTCAGTGACCACTTGCTCGAAGTATTCAGCCGCAGGGCGCAAGTTCGAATTCTCAAACCTTTCCCTGACAGGTGCCTGAAGCCCTTTGATCACAAACGGCACTGCCCAACACGACGCTTCTGGGCCCAACTCTTTGTGGAAGGCCTCCACCAAGGCATGCACCTTGATGGCCTGACAGCTCTTCAAAAACTCCTGCGTCAACAGCGGAGAGGAGACGCTGACACCAGAACTGCCAGAGCTTGCAACCTCACCAGGTTGAGAAACAGAACCTGCTTCTCCTTCTTTCTCTTTGCCCTTCTTGGCATTCTTTTTTGCCTGCGCAACTTTCTTGTCATGCGCAGACTTGTGAGCCTTTTGGTAAGTTTTGATGGTAGTGGTGATCTTGGTGGCTGTTTGGTTCACCAGCGCCTTCAACAATCTGAGTGTCTTCACCTGGTCCCGAAACCAGGCGCTGCAGGCTTTGCTTTGCTCAAACTCGAGCACTGCATTGAGCTTGCTGTCGGAGACTGTTTTCAACTCATTGCATGGCAACAAGTCGCCCAAGGTGGAGATCTCCTCAGACACTAGCAGACCTTCAGGCCTTCCCAATAGGAGCTGCCAGTCTACCATTGATGACTGGAGCCAACCAAGTAGAACGGTGTTGGCCGCCTTTGCCTTCTCTTCTTGGTTCTTCATGGTCAAAACCTCTCGCCTGGTCAAATCATCCGGGTTTGTGGGGGCCACTATGTCCTCAGCCTTCCCACCGAAAGCGATCAGCTCTTTAATCTTCCCCTCGCTGCTGTTCACGGCTTCCTGCCAAACGCCGGATCCACCCAAAAAGCACTTTGGAAACCGATTTCTCAAAAAAGACTAACTCAATTAAAACTTGACAAGGCAAACGCAAAACAAGCAGAGACTGACTGTCGACCATGACCCAGCGGGTCACCAGCCACCCGCCGCCCAGCAGTCCTGGCATTCAGTGTCCAACGCGGCAAGCGTGGCTGAATTTTTGGTGCCTTCGAGCATCCGCCAAATTCCAGCGTCGAAGTTCTTCCCTTTCTTGGGAATCTCTGGCGGCTGTTCCGGATTCTCCGGCTTCTCCTCGCCAAGCACAGACTGGGAAGGCGTGGGCGTGGGGGGAATAGAGTCCATATCGCCTGCAAAGCCTTCCACCACCTCCTCCAAAGTCTTGATGTTTGCTTGGCTCCTGACACCCCCGGCCTGTGTGAGACCAGCGGCATTCACAAGAGCAGAATTGCTCGCTGCAGCTTTCCCTCCGCCATACTGTCTCCATTCCTCACCACTCACACTGCTGAAGCCAGAACGTTGGCGCAAGTCTTCTCGCAACTCTTCCAAGCCCGACTCATTGAACTTCCTGGCCTTTGCCTGCTTGGTGACCTCGTAGCTCTCTTCCCGGGCACGTGTCGAAGTCTTGACCTCTCGGGTAGGGCAATAGATCCGGACTTCACCATTCCGGCCTTTGGATGCCCGCTCAAAGCCATCGACATCATCAACCATCCTCTTCCACTCAGCAAGGGCCTCGGCCTCAGACATGTCGTGGTTCTTCACTTCTTGGGCATAGGCCAGCCACTGCTTCTTGGACATGGGCTCCCGCTCTTCACTGTGAGAAGCTATGAGCGCAACCTTCTCACGCTGCATGAACTGGACAAAGTCAAAGTTGCAACGCGGCAAATTGTTGCCAGGCGCGGGGCAAGATGCTTCAAACTCCTGGAAGGTGGTGGGTTAGCTGACCTTACACCTCTGATTGTCAAGCCTCACCTGTTCTAGCAGTCATGTCTTTGAAAATGAAATCTGACACTTGCCAAGCGTGCACTGATACCAAGTTCCAAGCAAACAGTTCTGTCTACTTAGTTTAGTGTAGCGTGGCTGACATAGCTGCCAAATCAAATCCCAAAAGCAACCTACAAGCAACTTCAAGCAACTGTCCACCAACAAAACGCCCCTTGTTTGTCCTCTACAAGTTTGTGCCACAGTGTCTTGTCAGGCTGCCGGCTCAACTCCACTACCTTCTTCTTAAGGGGAGCGCTCTTCTTTGCCTGACGAAACAAAGCATCCGTGGTCCGCTTGTGCTCTGGGCAGTAGGGCGTGTTCTTCTGCTTGGGAACGAGGATGCCACACGCCTGAGCACATGGGCAGGCTGCGGCCGACATGAAAGAACCAAAGGCGCTGAACGGGCGCGCTTCGAGGCTCCAAACCGGGGGCGCCTAGAGACTGGAGATTGGGATCTGGGATTGGGAACTATGTAAAACATGGAACAAAGAACACTGACACAGGAAACAGATTTGAAGCCCTGCTTCCAACAGATCCGAGATAAGCCAAGTTGGTAGGAACCAACCGCCCAAATCGAAAAAACTCTGCTCTAATCTTGAATTTCAACAAATAAAACAAGGCGCAGGGAGAGGGCATTGCATGGTTTCCCCTTCTGCGGCAGCGCGCCCAGACTTGCCACCCTTGGACTTAGCCTTTGCCTTTCCCTTTGGAGTTTTCGCCCGGCCGCGTTTGTTTTTTGGGCTGCGGCTCTTGGAGCGGCCACGGCCGGTTTCAGCATCCGCTGCGGCGCCATTGTCAACATCATCTGGCATCGCCAAGTCTAGGTCGATCTGCGCTTCAACGATCTGCATTTCAGCGCCCTCCATGCCAACAAAGCTGGCCGCTAGAGTGCAGGGGGCAATGTAGAACTTAGTAGAAAAAACGGCTGAAATGGCAACAGCAGGTCACAACGCAATGGCCGCAAATTGCTCCACGATGGAAACACTGCTTGCTTGTTTTGAGAAAATGAAACCTTCATGCCTGAAAACAGAAAATTGCACTGTCTCCAGAATTTGCTTGCAAGCTGCAAAAAATGCAGACACGCAAGACTCGCTTATCCTCTGCAAGCGTCTAGAATTTGTTGGCAAGCTGCAGAGAATGCAGACATGCAAGACTCACTGATCCCATGCAAGGGTCTGCAATCTAGAAATCTAGAGGGCGCACAACTGGATTCCGCTACAAGTTGCACAAGCCTCTTCCATTTTCACCGAACCCTGCACCATCAACTACACTCAGCTAGCTCAGCTAGAAAAAATTCATGGTCAGGTTCACCTGTTGCCGATGCCTCACTGCCGCTGCTGGCTGAACCGCCTTGCACAGAGACTTGCACGGTCTGCCCAGGTTGCCTGGCTTGCCCGTCAAAAGATGTTGCCACTGGTTTGACAGGGGCAGCCATAACGGTAGACCGCTGCACACCTTCACCAGCAGCCATTCTGGCATTGTACTTCTGGCGTTTCTTTTTGCTAGGGCGGTTCTTTTTGCTCTTCTTTGTAGTCTTTGACAGAGTCTTTGACACTCCAGCCACACCAGAGCCGCCTCGCTCCGTCAGGACGACTGAGGATGTCTGAGTTGTCTTGGTCTCGGCTTCAATGAAACCAGAAGATTGTTGGGTCAGCACTCCTGGTTCAGGAGCGAAAAGCTCTGTGCACTCGTCACTCTCACTGCCATCTGCGCCTCGTGGCCGTTGTGGCCTAGACCAGCTTGAAGAGGAGTCATCATCGCTCGAACACATGACGTCAGTGGGAACAGTGCAGAATCCGCTACTCCTGGAGCAAAAAGGAAATGCAAAAAACACCTGCTTCAAAACAAACACCAACTTCAGAGAGGAGCGGTGTAACTGCCAAGGCAGTAACGCGGCAACACTACCAAACAATGCTCAACCCTTGACATTCTTACATTCTATTTCCAATATATGAAGTACATATGAAGGCAAGGTGAAGAAATGCTGAAGGCAAAAACAAAAGCGGACCCTTTACTTTGTGCCAAAAGTTACAAAACCTCAATTCAGCCTCACTCAGCTAAACACAGTAAACACAGCACACTCGGACAGCAGCTTGTCAGCCCACCTTTTCAACACCCCGCCCCACATCCAGCGCCAGCGCGCAAGTCTAAGCGCCCCCCTTGCAAAGCCATTCGGCCAGCTGCCATTACATACGGTGTGTGATCTTGTTCATTTTCTTTCATCACTTCAGCCTTCAAAAATTGTGGAGCGACACCGCGCGATGCCGGGCGCACCGCCGGGCTTGGAGGGGGGCTCAGACTGTTCTTCCATGTCTGAGCCTGCGCAACCTCCAGTAGCCTCTGGCAAAATGCGCAGAGCGGGAGCATCGCGGAGTTGAAACGAAGAAAGACCAGCAACAAAAGCGACCCCCATCACCTGGAAGGACATGCCGTTTCCGGCCAGCCGTCTCACATCCGAATCTCCAAGCTTCAAGAGCAAATGCCCAAAGGGACAGCCATAGTGGTTTTGGAATGACTTGGGGAGGCAGCTACGAAACACCGGGACACCCATGACCCCCATAGCCTCCAGAGGGATCAGCTCTCGCTTCCACCGGTAAGACCAAGGAATGCTGCGGGTCAACAAACTTGGCATGAACTTCTTCACTTTGCAAAAGCCAGTGGTCTGGCTGGGCAAGCCAATCCCATCCCGCAGGCAAACCCTAGGGTCACTGACATCTTCGCCTCTGCGTTGGAGCTCCTCCGACTCTTGGCACCGGATCCTTGCTAAATCACCCCCTGACAGCAACGCTTCCATGCCAACAACCAAGTTTGGGATAGCTGAGGATCGAACTGTGGGCGCAGACCCAGGACTTGCCTTCGCATACCTTCTTGAAACATATTCTGCCACAAACTTGGGGGGCGCTGCAAAGAAAACATCACCTTCCATGGCTGTCCCCATCTTGAAGTGGGAAAGCAGGTCCCCACTGAACAAACGCTCCGGTGACAAAGGCAAACCATGGCGTTTGTGAAGGCACCATGTCATCAACCTTGGTCGGGTGTACGGCATGATGTGGTAGTGGTCACCGAGGCACTTCTCCAAGTTGGAGATGTTGAACAGGTGAGTACATTCGTGAAGAAACATATCCGGCTGGGAACGCCGAACCTCGGCCATGAAGACCAAGAAAGGCATTGCTGCCTTGCCAGAAAGCATTCGCCTTGATCCTGTGGGGCATTCATCAGTACAAGTTGCGCCTGCCACCCAAAGAAGAGGCCTGGTGTCCCGAGCAGGGTGGAAGGGGCACATTGCCTGGTGAACGCAGCATTTCCCATGTGTTGGAATCAGCTCTGGTCGATCCAACATGCTTTGCAAAACCCTTGTCATCTCCGATACCAATCTCTCACTCAACTCTTCCACAATCTCTTTTCGGTCCTTGCATGGTTCCTCATCGATGTCGATTGTCAGGTCATCCCACTCTGAAACGACAGGCAAAGATCCATCACCATGGCCATCCGAGGCACTCTGCTGGTTTTTCAAGGCCTCCTTGAAAGCAGCGTCTGTGTCCTTTTCAATCTGTTTCAATTCCTCCAGCACGCTGGCCGGCAAACGCTCGCAAATGTCTCCAAAAACATGCTCTGCCTTCCCCCACAAGAAAGAAGACAGCACTTTCTGGCAAACAGGGTCTCTATCACAGGCTGTGGCTACCTCAACGCAGTTGGTCCAGTCCTCCTTGCCCTGTTTCAAAGCTAGTGTCTTCACCAGCAGGTGCAAAGCCTGTCCTGCACAATCTTGTCCACTGTAAAAAGTTTCTAGAACTAGCCCTTTGTTCAAGAACACATTCTGGAAGTTTTCAAAAGCAGTGGGGCTGGCAGAGAACAGGTCAGCCATCGCTTGGCTGGGCCACTTGAAAAGGTCACTGAGGACCTCTGTCTTCCGCTCATGCTGTGTTTCCATTTCAAAGCTACCCCGTTTGGAGGGACGCTCAATCCCATCGCTTTCTTCCAGAGTGTCCACACCAGGACATCGTTTGAGACCGGACATGGCCAAAACTAGGACACAACCAAGTGATTTGAACCGAAACCTGAACAAAAGCCAAAACTCGGACAAAATTTGACAAAACAACCAACTGTGCCATTGACAACGCAAAAATGAACCGAAACACCGCAAACAAAACAAATTTACTAGTAAATGCTATGAACCCTTGTCAAACCCCCAAAATCACATCGAAAGTGACCGAACAGTCCGTTACAAGATCCAAACGCTAAAAGCTAGCGTCTTGAGGTGTAAGTTCACTTGTTTTCATGCACATTCTTGGTTTGCTGCTCGGTTGTGTGCGGCGGCGTGCGGTGGCGTGCGGTGGGGGCGTGCGGTGGCGTGCGGTGGGGACCTATTTTTGATGATTTTTCATCACTATGGAGCACTGAATCTAGGAAAAGTGAACAAACTTGTCAAAAGACTGCTATATATCGCCTTCATGTCGCCAGTGGCCAGATTCTGTTGATTTTTGTCACATATGTTGCGATTGTGCACAAATACCACCAATATCTGCGCTTATGTGTGGATATGTGCACAAATCACTCCAAGCGTGCTGGCGCTGTGGAAAACGGCATTAAACACAAACATTTGCGGGCTTTGGCTGCTAAAAGGGTGACAGCCAATCTTTTCTGACAGAGCGGAACATAAGTCAATGGCTTTTCCATGTCTTGGAACATCGTTTACACAATTTCAAAACTTCCAACCGATCTGACGACCTGAGGTAAGTACAAGACTGACTGTCATGAATTACACTGCTGCCCTTCACACAATAGAATGTGACAGTCCTTGGCAAAATCACTGAGGACTTCTCAGTCGCCTCAGCCTCTCCACTCAAATGATGGGTTCCCTGCTCACAGCACTTCAATTGCCCTGGATGTGATAGCCACAGAAAGGCAACTGCACAGATAGCTGCACCAAAGAAAGCGCCGACCAAGCCCACACAAAAGATCACTATCTCAAATTCAGAGAACATTGGAATGGCCATGTCTGGCAGGATGCGGAAATCGGATGCGGGCATGAACCTCAACTACTTCAGACTTACCTTTGGGCTGGAGCAGCAAGGCAGCAAGAGAAAACGAACTGGTGACAGGGCGAACCTCTTGGCTTGCATGTTGCTACCCCCAAAGCTGACTGACACTAGGTAAACTAAAGCAAAGTGCTATGCTTCCAAATTGCATTCACAGTCAAACAGCCTGCAAAAAAAGTCTGTTTTCCACACAGCTCACTCTTCAGAAGAAGATTGTGAACTTGAACTTTCAGTAGAGCTTGAGCCGGAGCTTGAGCTGCTACTAGAACTCGAACTGGAGCCTGCTTCAGCTTCAGAAGGTTTGGCGCAAGCTTTGCCTTTGGCAATCTTTGGCTTGGCTTGGGTTTCGGCGCTGCCTTTCGCTTTCGCTTTAGCTCCTGCGCCCCCGCACCGAAAAGGCATCTTCTGATGCGCAGCTTTGTCTGCATACTCTGGAGCACTGCCTATCCAATTTTTCAATTCTGCTATCACAAAATCTTTGTCCTCGCCAGCTTTGATTGGCATGGTCCTGGTACAATGTGTTTTGCTTCCACTTGGATTTATCTTTGGTTCATGGTAGCTGCACCGCACTTGCCAAGAGTTGTTGGAAGCTTTGTGTGTAAATTTGTGACTCTGTCTGGTGATTGGGCATTCGTAAAAAAATCCCAGCACATCTGCAGCTGCTCTTCGTGGGTGGGCAGGTCCGGAAGGGTGAGGCGAGGGCTTGGGGCGCTCACACTCAACAATTTCAAGCTCTTCAACCAAGCTAGACAGGGGAAGGTCATCTGGAACGCCAACCCGTGGTGGCACTGGCCGAGAACTGCTATCTGCTGCGCCCGTAGGCTCTT